GTTACCGGGAGGTCTTCTGGAGGTGTGACTCCTTTGAGGCTGCTGGACTCTGCACCCTCCACCTGAGAAGGCTGAGGCCCCCGGGGGGAGCGACCACACGGGGCTCTCTGTAAGCTGCAGAGGGGGGTGGCCCTTTCCCTCCCCACTGCGCAGAGCAGAGCAGGTGCAGAAGGGGGCACTTCCCGACTGTAGGTTAACCACCAGTGGATCTGGGATTCAGGTGTGTTCCAAAGTCCTGGGAACCCTCTAAATGACCAGGTCTCGAGACCAGCAGGTCTCGACTAGGAGACAGGGACATTGCATGCCACTCAGAGGATCCAGCCCTTCACCCCACTGATGTGCCCACACAATCTCCAGTCACTGCCCCAAGACCCACATCTCAGGGCAAGGTGGAGTCCGCCTCGGGGTGCGGGAGACCTGGTCTCTCCGACCACGAGGGAACGTGAGGTGGTGCGAGAGCACCAGCCTGGCCTGGGGTCCTGCGGCAGGCAGGTCACCTGGCTCTGTGCTCTTAGGGTCCCAGGCCCCTCATCTGGGACCCCTTCTTCTGACCCTGGGCGGACGATCTGTGGCCCAGAGCTCCTGTGTCACCTCTCATTAGCAGTGGCCCTTGCCCTGTGCTTCTTAAGACTTTACTGTGCACAGGAATCACTGAGGATTTGCCAAAACGCAGGTTTTGATTCGGTGGGTCTGGGGGGACCCGAGGCTTGTTTCCGACAAGCCTGCCAGCAGCTTAGCAATGCTCGCACATCAGATCACCTCACAGGAACAAGAAGGACCGAACGCTCACAGGCATCCGCAGTAATCCGCGTATAAAGCAAATACAGACTCACATTCGCTGGTCAAATCAATCCGCCTTTTCAATTATGAGGTTTGCCTAAGTCGGCAGCAGGGCGTGTAACAGGAAGAGCACAGGGTTGGAGCCAGAATGACACGGGTTCGAATCCCAGCTCTGCCACTAAGAACCGTGGGCTGTGCAGTCTCTTCACTGCTCGCTTGTGTCCCCATCTATAAAACGGGGCAGTGGCCCCTCCCTCAGGACAAAAGGAGACCTCGTGTCCACCACGCTCCACTGCAGTGCCCGCTGAACGGCAGTGCCCTTCAGTGACTCACGTGTGGGTCAGGCTCCACCCGAGGCGCCCTTGCCTGGGCACCGCCCAGACTCCAAGTTCTCGCCCAGTGAGGCCGGTGTCGCCTCCTGATGCTGCTGGAGGTGGGGCCTGAGCCCAGCTCCGAGGAGGCCTGGGGCAGGTCCTTGCCGATTCCCGCCTCCCCCTCCGTGGCTGCCCGGACCGCTTGTTGCTCGCCAGGAGGCTGCCGGCGCTAATCAAGCAAGCGTCCCTGCTGCTTGGGGGCCGCTTCAATCAGGGCACGCGGCAGGAGGCGTTATTAGCTGCGCCCGTGCCTGGGCTTGCAGAGTGGCCCGGGGCGGCCCCCTCTGGAGGGCCACCGGGGGCTCCGCACACGCACGTGTCGGCGTCCGTGCGTCCTCAGACCTGTGCCGGGACAGGGAGGGGCTGAGCCTCGGCCCCCGTGGCTGGGCCCTGAGCTGCGATGGTGGCTGCCTACATCCCAGGCCCCTCACTCCCGTCTGGAGACCCACTGTGGCTGACAGGGGCCACTTACACACCAACGCGGCCCTTCTCCCTCGTGGGGAGTGGGGCCCTGAGTGAGCCCATCTCCTTTGCCTTCTCCTAGGAGAACAGGAAACCGCACGGGCCACGACGTGCCTGAGTGGACAGTCCATGGCCGTGGAAGGCCACAGGCCAGCTGGATGACCTTTGAAGTTCCTCCCGGCCCGGAGAAGGGGAATAGCCAGTTGGTTACGAATGTGGGCTCTGGACGTCAGCTTTCGGGGCCTGAATCTGGTGCTGCCACCACGGACCCCGCGGCCCTGGGCAAGTTGCGGAACTTGTCTCTGCCTCACCTTGCTCATCAGTAAAATGGGGATGATGATTGGCACCTACACCACAGTGGGTGTGATGACCTAGTAAGACGAGGCGTGTAAAGTGAGTGCTCAGCAGGGCATGTAATCAGCACTCAAATACATTAGCTGTTGAGGGGTCTTTGTGCGGGAGGGCGCCACGTGGGGTCTTCTGGGCCATCCCCCTGCCACCACCCTGGAGAGGGAGGCGGAGTTCTTGTACTCCCGGCTTCCCGAGCAGCACGCAGGCCTGCTGCTGACTCCCGGGATGACGGAGAAGGGCCTTCATTTTTTAAAATGTCCAGGAGACTCACCAACCCAATCAGGTGGGAAATGGCTCTGAAAACGAGGTGCCCCGAGGTCACGTGCTCCCTATTCCAAGTCTTCTCCCTCCATCACTCACACAGGCTACCGAGTGCCAGGGACAGGAGAGCCGGGTTAATCCAAAGACCCGGACTCCAGTCCTATGCTTGTGACTCATCGGCCGTGAGCCCCTCTGTTCTGTGAGGGGGAGACAATGGGCTCCAGGCCTGACCAGGGGTGGTGCGGTTCTGCCCCTGCTGGGTTCACCGGGAGACCACCGGGCTCTGGGAGAGGGGTCCCTACATCCCTGCAGCCTCACGATGCAGCGCGGCACACGAACTCTCCCCAGACGTTGTAGCCACTGCCGGGCTTTTGCGTGACCATCTCTGAGCTCTGAGAGTCCTTCTTCGATCTTTCATTGGAATTCTGTCCATTGCACAGTTTAAGTTCATCTTTTATTCTTTGGTCTTGGAAGTAGAAACCAGCATTACGGAAGCCTCAGCGATTCAGGATTCAGGCTCCTCTCCCAGTGCCCTTCTGAGGGGGATGAGTTTGCTGGAGGAGTCTTTTCAAGGCCAATCCTGCACAGGCCCCATGCTCCGCCTTTGTCCTGCCTGCGCTCCTGGTGTCTGCCCCAGGCCCAGCGACCCCACGAGGTGGTCATCACAGGCCCTGTCAGGCTGGAGTTCAGGGGGGCGACCCACCAGTGCCCTCTCTCTCCCAGCAGCTCCAGATTCTTGCTCAGAGGAACCAGTGGGCTGGGCGCCCACGGCGTCTCCTCCAAAGCCTGTCTGCGGTCCCAACCACCCACCCCGCCCCTTCCTCTCGTCTCCTTCCATTTGCGCTTATTCTCTCAAAGAACAAGTACCAGAACCCGGTTCGACAGAACACAGAGACCCCCGATGCTGTGAACATAGTTACCTGCACCAGCCCTAGTCAGCCTCCACCTGGGTGGAACAGAAGGTGGCACCTGCAACGTGACCGGGGACCTACAAACCTCTCTGGCTTCGGGCTAGGACTCTACACCTTCTGGTTGCCCTGTGCCAGCTGGGGGTCCACCCTCCCGCCCCCAAGCCCAAACAACTGTCTGTCCAGGCCACCTGATGGCCGGTGAGCTCAGCACCCACAGTCCTTCACTACCTGCATGGCCCTGGGGCATATTCCCCCCCATCTCCCCCACCCCCAGAGCAACGAAAAGAACAAAGCCCTTTCCCCACTTGTGTCTCAGGTTCCTTTCAAAGCCAGTCAGCAGTGAAAGGCCGAACACGAGCATTCAAGGCAGTGCAAGCGTGGTTTCTTGCCACTTTGCAGTGGGCCTTCCCGATGAACTGTTCAGTCCCAGCAGGAAGCGGATGATGTCTCCCAGTGCTCTCGATTGGCCTCCCGCCCCCTGCTGCCCCGGTGGCGGCCGTCAGGGGTGTCTGGCTCAGCACCCCTGGGAGGGCCGAGCACAGAGCCTGGGCCCTGGGAGGCAGGCTCCCCTTCCAGCCCCCTGTCACTCAAGTTGTAAGAAGAGCCAGTAGGAGCCTCCTAAAAGAGAAGAGCCCCGGCTGGAGGGGCGGAGAGAGCCCAGCTCCCCTGTGCCATTCTAACGCCTGAGCTGGCGCCTCTAACCTGAGTACGTGAAGAAGCGGGGTTTTCATTTCAGATGCACATGGTGGCTAGGAACAATACCAACAATATTATTTTAGTGCCCGGGGAAAAAATTAGCAAGTCAAATATTGAATCAGGCCTGTAGCACCACATGCTAAGCAGATTGCTTTGATCTTATCCACACTAAAAGCTCTATTATTGAATTTAAAGTCAGGGAACACGTATAAAACCAAGATACAATGAATATCTAAATGTGTGTTTCAGAAGCAGGCAGCGCTGTGACGAAAGGAAGAAAATATCAAAGTTGCAGCTGTGATGGAAACACAAACGTGCCCTGCTTCTTGTCTTGGGGTTGGAGGTTCTGCTAGCCCACCAAAATGTTTTGGCCCCGGAGGACCTGCTGGTGGCTGCAGAAACACCTCTGAGCTCCCAGTTTTCTCTAACCAACAAGGAAGGGGTTTCTCTCCCTCCTACTCAATTCCAAGGCAGAAGCTGGAGAGGAAAGCAAGCCAGTGTGTATATTCCGTACACAGTATGGCGCCCTCTGGTGGCCATTTTCTTGGGTGGCCTTACCTGGCTCCTCAAACTTCCAATGATTCAACCTTTCCCTCCCTGTAGAGGGTGCCCCCCAGGAAAAGGAGCTTTAGAAGGTGAAAAGGAGGAACAGAAGCAGTTGATCAAGAAGATAAAAACTGTCCAGTCGATCAGAGAGGGAAATGTTAATTGCCCAGCAGGGCCTAAAGAGAGACGAAATTGAGCAGTAACCTTCACATCTAGGATATCCACCTCCCACCCCCCACAATGACGAGCTAAACAGGAAACGCACATCCTAAACCAGGGGCCGGTTCACTCCAATCTGCCAACCAAATCCGCCTCCCCGCCAGCTTCTGTACAGCCAAGAGTTGAGAACAGTTTTTACATCTTTAAGTGGTGAAAACTCATATTTTGAAACACGAAAGAATTCCACGGCCAGCTGTCCAGCCTGCCAGACTGACAACACTTACTTTTTGGCCCTTTGCTCCTGCTGTTCACAGGCTGACCCCTGAGAGTCTGGCCCTGTGCTACCCCGCCCACCTCTCTGCACGGTGACGCTGGGGCTGAAGCAGTCGCAGGCCCAGGTGTGTGGATGGCGGGGTGGGGAGGCAGGCATCGCGTTTCAGCCCAACCCCTGCAGACTTACCATTTTATTATTGATTTCATGGAAGTGAATCTCACAGACTTTCTCCACGACGTCTTCATTCTCAAAAGTGACAAAGCCAAACCCTAAAGGAAAAGGAAAAACAAAGACAAGAACAGAGAGGGAGGGTGAGTGCAGTTCTGGCCTGCCCACCTGGTTTTCTTGGCTGTCCTACATGGCCACAGGCTCCTGGCCTGGGGGGCGGGGGAGCAGGTCCCTGGGAAGGACCCCCAGGGCGAGGCACTGATTTCTCATTTGTATGGTGTGCCCTTGCAACAGTGAGGAAAAGTTAATGATTTCATCCACACGCGGCGGGTGCTGCGTGCTTTACACCTGCCCCCAGGCAAACAAGAAATTTTCTTGTCTGTTATTTACGAGGGTCAGAGCTGCGTGGCCGCGGCAGCAGGTGCGCAGCCCCGAGCGGTGGGGATCACTGCGGGGCCATTCCGCGCTGGAGTGGCCAGCCCTCCGGTCAGCCTCCAGACGGAGGTGGTTATTTGTCCTTCTCTTCCTGAATCACTTCCTCTAATACCTCATCAGGACATCCTGAGGCCTGGAAGAAACTATTAAAAGTTTCGGGCCTCTGTTCTGTGCAGGCATCCCTTTTCTACTGCCGCTTCAAAAGCGCTACAGATTTGGGGCAGTTTAAGACCGTTTGATGCCTGCCGTCTCCCCACTGTATTTGCTCGGCTGGAGGCAGCCTTTGCTAGACAAAGCTGCACTGCAGAATTTGGCAGGCAGCCACTGCTCAGCATCCTGAGTTCCTCTTGCTACCCTCCTGCCCCTCGCTTTCTTCTCTTCCCGCCCCCGACAGGGTCTCCTGCACGCAGCCCCCTCTGGGACCCTGCTTGGTCAGTACTGATTGAATGCACAAGCCCACTGGCGTGAGGGTGCCCAGCAGGATGGGGCGCAGCTGTGATGTCAGTGCTGACACCACTCGGGAGCGCAGGCGGAGAGCACAGACAGACCCTGAAGGGGCGGCAGGGGGCCTGGGTCTCCAGCTCTGACTTTGCTTCCAACTCATATGCCATTCTGGGAAGCCCCTTCCCCTCTCTGAGCCTGGAGTCCTGTGCCTGCAAATTATGGTGACGAGACTGGACACTGGGTCCCACACCTTGAGTCATGGCCCAAGTCAGGATTTGCAAGGATCTCTGCTATGGACTGAATGTTTGAACCTCCCTGCCTCCCCCTTCGTATGTTGAAATCATAGCCCCCAAGGTAATGGTACAGAGAGGCGGGCCTTTGGGAGGCACGGAGAACATGGTGGTCGAGCCTTCACGAAAGGGTCACTGCCCCGAGAAAAGACACAGCACGAGGGTGCAGTGGGAGACGGCTGTTCAGACAGGGAAGCGAGCCCTCACCAAACTCCTGACCGTCCACTTGGTGCCCTGACCTCACGCTCCCAGCCTCCAGCACTGCGGGCAACTGCCTCCTGCCGCTGCTGAGCCTCCAAAACAGCGGCTGGCACAGACTGAGACGGTCACCTCCCCAGAGATGGGAACCCGGCCGAACACAAACCCGGACGCACACCAACCACGAGGCCCAGAACTGGAATGGAGGTTTTTGTATTGTAATAATTTGCGTTTCCTGTCAAGGACTAAGAATGCAGGTGCTTCCTTTTCGAGCTGTGGCTGTTTTGTGTCCCAGAAACCCAAGGTGGAGAGAGAATCTCTCAAGTCCCTTCTCTATCACCACCACCACCACCTCCGAAGGAACAGCCGAGAGCAGGCAGCTGATACTCAGAGCTTCTCCATCGGAGTCGTGCCGGGTCCAGAGGCTCCTAGGGAAGCGGATGAAACAGGACATTCCCTGCTCCCAGAAAGACCGAGGGCCAGGAGCACCACACAAATGGCAACCGCCATCTGTATTATGGTACGCAACTTGCTAGCAGCACAGGACACCTGGCTGATGTTCCCAGCCCACACAGTCCCGCCCGTTACAGACACGTAAGGCTGAGGGTCTGCCATGCCTCAAGGGGACACAAGCCTTTGCCGTCAGGGTTCAAGGCCGGCACATTCCTCCCAGCGGCGTCCAGGAGAAGCCGGGTCCTCAGACACTATGACCTTCTGTTAGAAACGCAGCGGACAAAAGACTCTGGCCCAGGTGCATGCAGCCCCTCTCACACTGGTCCTCTGGGTGCCCTGTGCTCGTGTGCCTCACCGCAGGCAGAGCTGGGCGAGAGCCACGCCCAGAGGCAGTCTGAGTGATGCCCCTTCCGGCTCTGGTGTGTCTGCCCCCCATTAAAACTCTTGGGCAGGCAGGGACCCCTGCAGCACACAGCCTGGCCTGCATTGTTTTGGTTAGTGCCCTCCTTCCTGCCCACCGTCCAAGAGCTGGGGACCCAGAGGCTCCTCCAGAAGGGACTGAGAAGCAGGTCCCCTCCACAGTCCTCGGGGGAGGGCAGGTGGCACAGCCGAGTGTGTGGGAACCTGCCAGGCTGGCTCTGAGGAGCAGGGCAGGGCTGGGCCCTCCTCCCTCTCCGTGGCCAGCAGGTACAGCGCCGCAAACACCCCGCAGTGCCGAGTGGCGCCAGCTGACCTGCCGTTCCTGCTCCCCCAGGGTCGGCGACCTTGCTCATTCCCTTGCGTCCCTGCCTCCCTCCCCCTCCCCAAGACTGACTGACCGTCCTGTCCTTCTCCGCTTATCGGCTCCCATCTGGGCAAGGAGGGTGTAGAGCTCAACAAGACAATGTCGCTCTTAAGCAGTTTCCTCCCTGAGAGGCACATGTCAGGGGTTCCCACTTAAGGAGACCATCTCCCCCGTGCACCCCTCGCCCTCCCTCACCAGCCTCATCTTTCTCTGCAGGTCACCTCTGCAGCCTGGACCCAAACCCAGGCAGCAGGTGCCTCCCTGCACAGCCAGGGCCGGTGGGCTCTCTGGGGGGGGGGGGGGCTCGCTGTGGATTAGAACCAGCACCATGGCTGGAACAGTGCCCCTGTGAACAGACCTTATTTGGAAAAATGTTTTTTTGCAAATATAATTAAGGGTCTTAAGGATTAGGGTGGGCCCTAAATCCAATGGCAGGTGTTCCTCTGAGAAAAACTGGGGGCAGACAGGAGGGGCAGAGGGCAGAGGGGGACGTCCGCATGACGGCAGAGGCTGGAGCGACGCGGCCGCGGGAGCTGGGGGAGGCAGGGGGAGGCTGTCCTCCAGGACCTTCGGGGGCAGGGTGGCCCGCCGAGCCTTGGTCGCAGACTTCAGGTCTCCAAAACTGAGAGAGACCACGTTTCCGCTGTTCCAACCACCAGGTTTGTGGTACTTCCTTATGGCGGACCTGGGAACCAACCCGGCAAGGTTCCCGGCTGCGCTGCCCCCGGGGCAGGTCACGTGCAGCCTCCGCACGCCAGGCCGCTTCCCCGGTTTGGGTAGAAGGCCGAGAATGTGAATGAAGGAACCAGACCCGCCTGTGCCCTTAGGAAAGAGCGTCAACGACGTAGGTGCCCATCAGGGAGGTCAGTGCCCTGCACGCGAGCGGGAGGACAGCCTGGTTTAGAGCCAGCTGGCTGCTGAGCACGTGAACTTGACCCTGGGAAGGTCATGGGTTGAGTTCACTGCCCTGGAAGCTGCTTTTCTGCTGGGACCCACACCTTCCTGGTCCACTGTGTGAAGAAATCACTCTTGGAACTCCAGGCGCAACACCATTCAGGACTCATGTTGTCCCAAGTTCCCGTGCACGGTGTCGCCCCTCGGAGACAGGAATTAAAATGCAGACTGTGGGCCACGAGGGGCGGGGGCAGAATTTGCATCGGTGCAAATTCTGACTCTGATATTCTCCCTTCTGGCCCCTTCCCTCACCCCCAGGACTCAAATTCGAGTATCACAGAAATGATCTTCCTGATCAAAGGAGAGAGGCTGGGTTTCAAGCCCAGGTGCCTCAGCTGCATAACAATTCAGCGATGTCAAGACTCATTTGCAGTATTTTAAAGATCTATATCGTTTTACAGTCCCTGCCTGTTTGGCCCAAACAGAGAAAGCAAACTTGATTATGTCTAAAATATTTATTTATTCCATTTGGAGAAAGCAAAGAAACACTTAATTAACGACAAATGTTATCCCTTAACGTATAATCATTCTTATCTCACGGTGCATTATCATTTACAATGAAATAGGAACTCGGTGGTGAATGAGCCCCCCAAATAATCTGAGGTGTGAAGGACAAAACAAGGGGGTCGGAAACTGGGGAGGGGCAGGGTAGCAGGTGGGAAAAATTCTTTTTTGGTGTCGAAGTCGTTTTAAAAATTTTTTCACTGGGTGAAATACATGTAACACAATTTACCACGTTAACCACTGTAAGTGTACGGTTCAGTACAACATGGTACCGCCACCGCCACGCCCCACTTCCGGAATTTTTCCCTACTCCACACTGAAACTTTGCACACATGAGGACAGCGGGCCCCAACTTTTCGGCACCAGGGATGGGTTTCATGGAAGACCATTTTTCCACGATGGGAGGTGGGGGCGAGGGGCCGGGAGGCGGAGCTCAGACTGGGGGGGCGGAGGGAGTTGGGGAGCCCGCACTCAGCAGTACCTCCCCGCCGCTCCCTTCCTCGGTCCCGTGTCTGTGAACGTGACTATTCCAGGCACCTCGTGCAAGTGCAGTTGTATAGACAAGTGTCCTCCGGTGCCTGGTTCAGTCCACTCGGCATGACGTTCTCAAGGCACAGTGGCCTTTCGAACAACCTGCCGGGCGTGTAGATTCTATAGGAAGGAGACTCAGGAGGGCTGAGTCTTCTGGACAAGGGGCAGGAAGGGCTGATTATTTCCCTGCTGTTTTTAACAAAAGAGAGCCCCACAGAGAATCAGAAATGGGGCCCTCTAACCAGGAGCCTGTCAAACTGAGGCACAGTAGCCAGGTGAAAGAAGAGCATAGTTCTCCTCACTGAGAAGAGGCAGGACCAAAGAACAAGCTGTGTGCCCCCAGAGAGCGCCTCTGCCTCTCTGGGCCTCTAGACAACGCATTCAGAACTGAGTAGAGGGTGTGTTTGGGGGCCCCAACCCTGCTCTGGTCCCTGCCAAGGCAAGGACCGGGGTCCACAGTGCATCTCCTACAGTTCACACTCCCCCTGGGCCCTCTGGGGGTCCCCCG